GAAGAGTTTTCTAATGAATTACAAAGGGTGAGCATCACAGAAAATGTCAACCGCTATGATAAACAGAAACCACATAAACCCTTAAGACAGTGCTATATTCCAATAATAGTATACCTCATACATTTTGATCAAGCAGATTAAAAAACTAAGAAAAAGCAGATGTTTAAACAACCAAGAGATCACAGAATTACATATGTGAAAAAATTATTTTTTGGGTGCCAAGTTACATTAAGTTAAGTGTTCAGACCTCCTCAAACTTGACAGTTTCTCTACTTTAAGTCATGCTATGAAGACAGGGACATAGGGACTGGTATATTATACAGCATTGCCTTGAGATTAAAGAGATGATACTGTGGGACATTAATATAACTGAGGTATCTGCTGCCAGCTCCAAAAAGGTGGAGTTATTATTGGGAGCAAAATGTTAAGTCATCTCAGAGTGAGTCCAATTAGATTACATGACAAATTAACCACTTAACCAAGAATATGTCACTGAAGTCTTGATTCCAGCCTTTTAAGAACTCAATAAAAAGTATTATTATCTAGATATCCAGAAACAGCTGTGTATCTTGAAAACACTTAGTCACACTTTATATCTCAAGGATTTTGCAACGAAGTCTAGACTAATGGCATCCCTCTTTATTTCAAGAAAGATCAGATTGTCAGGCATGTTTGAAATTCTTGCTCTTAAAGAGTTCACATTTGCATGCCTGGTGATAGAAATAATATCCTGTATTTCCAGGGCCACGATGATGCATTTGTCTATTGTGAGAATGTAATGCACTATCAAGCTCAAAAGAACCAACTGCTTAGAAGACAGGTTTAAGAAGGCCATCTCATTGAAAGGCCATATTAGAGAGACTTCTATGCCTGAGTCTCACGGGTGGTTCGTATGAGAGCTTGTTAAGTCAAAGACTAGTAGAATTGATGACAACGAGATATCTCACATGCAGCGTTAGGAGTAGTGATGGTGTGGTACCCCATCATAGTCAGGATGAAGACAGTTTATCTTTTCTACAAGATAAATGCTTGCAAGATGATGCTACAGGTATTTTTTTTTCCGTATTTTTTCCATATTGAGTCCAAAAGTAGACCTGTGACATTTAGTCACCCCAGTTATAAGTACACTGGATTTGGCAAAATTTTTAATGAATTCCAGCAGACACATAGCTTCAAGACTAATTCTGAAGTCTCACAGAGCTTAATAGTATGGACTATGGTGAGTTGATCATCCTAACACAGGGACTGTATGTAACAGATCTATCATTTTTTGATGACCCATCAAGCTGAAGCTTGAAGTTCCAGAAGCAATGATGACCTAAAATGAAGGTTTTACACTTCAGTCTTAGTAAACACTGATCTAGTAGCAAATTGTTTCCAGATCCAAAACTCTGCTAGTCCTCAGTTTACCAACAAGATTTTCCTGAGGCATGAATCTATGTATTTCTTTTAATTCCAGAAGATTCCTGAGTACCCTTCTCTGGACTTAGTTTGGACCAAAATACTGTGTAAATCTCTATCCAACACTCCTTAGAGCAAAGTCTCCATTTGGCCAATAAAGCTTAAGTCTTTTTATAGATACTTCATTCTCAAAGTCTAGAACTCAAACATCAGCTGGGATTATTCCAGATATGCACTCATTTTTTTGAGATGACCTTCAACCTGGGGAAGAACAGGTAAAATAGGATCTTGGAAGGCTAATCTGCTTAACATCCAGAGTCAGAGTATTAGTTCTTATACCCATGTCGTTCTGGAGAGTCTCCTTTTTTTCTATATCTATAGGGGTGATTGCGGGGTTTGTACCAATCTCCTTTGGAATACCCTCTGTTGTGATAATGTGCTTTCTGATCATGACTATAAAAGTATCGATGCTGAGTATAGTATTTATTGTGATCCTTATATTCATTTTCTTTAATACTATTGTCTTCTGCAACAATAGCATTCACATCTTGTCCAAAAAGAGATGTACCATCAAAGGGCAAGTGTAAAATCTTCTCCTGGGTTTTCTTAGTGAGAGATGTGAGTCGGAGCCAGGCCTGTCTTCTATAGTCTACTGCCATGGCCATAACTCTGACTACAGAGTCCATTATGTCCCTAGTGGTACAGAGCTGCCAAAGTCCTGCATCCATGCCATCAGATATTATACATCTTGCTTTCCCTCGATCAAACTCTGGGTCGTGAACCAGATCTTCCATGTCTTCCCAGAGTTTACGTTGATACTGGGTCATATAGGCCATGTAGCTAGCAGCCCGGGCTGCAATAGAAGCAGCATGGTAGAACCTACAACCCATGACCTCCATTTCTTTTGAGGTAGAGTCTAAAGGAGATGTTGTGTTTCCTCTCTTGCTATGTTCTAATACATCTATGATGGGTCCCTCAGCTGGTGGGTTTGGCTGGAAAGGAGAGGTGTCCTTGGCCACAGGATAAACCCTGTGTCCCATGAAGGAAGAAGGATGGCAATCAGCAGGGTCTTTAAAAACTTCAGTGGTGGCAATTCTCAAAAGTGGATGCAGTGGAGGAACCAAGCGCTTTTTAGATGTCATCCAATCAGGCTTGCCCTCACAGGTTTCGGCTTCAGACTGGAACGTCACCCTCTTTATAACACCCCTTTGTTCCATTCTCTTCAAAAGACCTGTGAAACTGGACTGCATGGGGTCAGATGGCTGCCCTTTGTCATCAGCTGATGGAGATTTGCAGTCAGCCTCTTCTTCAACTGTCGATAAACCGTCCTCCTTAGAGCTGGAGATATCCCACGGAACTGACGAGCTCTCACTTGGCCTAGAATGATGAAATCTGAAACAACTCCTGGACTGCAGATCACGTATGACTCGGGACATCTCAGCCACTTGTGTCTGGAGATACAGGATAGCATCTTGTCCACTCTGTGAAGCTGAAGACATCGTGCCTGGTAAATCCTCTTTGACCTCAGAAAAAGATTCCTGGGGGACCAGAAGTGATGCTGAAGGCAGAGTCTGATTACTTTGTGATTTAAGTGTCTCTTTTTCAGAGACACTAACATCAGAATTACTCTGATCATTTTTCTGGTTCTCCAATGTGTTCTCAACAGAAGAAGGTTGAGAAACTATTCTTTGTGGACTGTTGGCACAACTCCCAGAGGAGGAGCTGCTGTCTCCAATGGGAAGAGGAACACTGCAGCTAGAGCACATTTCTGGGCGATGATTCTCAGAGGATGGCACCTTAGATTCAGGCATTCTCTGGGTTATCCACATGAACAAGAAAACCAAGGAAGAAAAAAAATATGCTTTTAATATGTTAACTTTCAAGTGCAGAGATGCATGTCCAGTAAGTAGAATTCAAATTTTATATTATTAAACATAAGAATGGCAGATACAATCCACTATAGGTCGGCAAAAGATAAAAGAAGTCGAATACACAGGATTCATTACCCTCAACCCCATAAAAACTATAGGCATTAATGTTGGATTCTGTATTAAAAAATCATGATTAAAAATAAGATCATTTGGGGGCTGGGGAGATGATTCAGTATGTAAAGTGTTTGTCGCGCAAATATGAGGACCTGAGTTTAGATCCCCAGTACCCAAATAAAAGTAGGCACGCTACTGCAAATCTGTAGTTGTAGCACTGCGGAGGTGGACACAGGCAAATCCCAAAATTCACTAGGCAGACCATCTAGTCAATCAGTGAGTTCCAGGTTCAATGAGAGCTCCTCAAAAATAAAGTAAGGTAACGACCAACTGAAGACCGCTGATGTCAGCTTGTGGCCCTCATGTGCTTGCTCACATGTGCCCCCACACCTGCACACATCCATACAAACATACGCGCCACACAAACAAACCAACCTCAGTCCACAGTAGTCCTATCCTAGTCTGCTGCCTGATCCCAAGCTACAGTAAGATGATAAGGTGAAGGCTACTGTAATAACAACTAACAAAAGAAAAAACCTACTCAATATAGAAAGGGCAGCAAGTGGAAGAAAATGATGGCAGAGAAAACTTGAACAAAGTCCTATTGAAATGCAAAAAAAAAACCAAAACAACAACAACAAAAACCTTTTAGAACTCCTTCAGTTGGGGCCATTTTAAATTTTGTTAAAAATTATTAACTGTCCATGAATAAACTTCCAGTTGTACCTCTCTGCCTTACATTTTGTTGTTAATGAACTTTCATGTTTGTTACTTTATTTCCTCCTCACAACAACCTGTGAAGTAGGACTTACTTTCTTCTGAACTGCAAAAACAAAATAAAGCAGCCCAGCCCTGAGCTAACACAGTGAGGGGTAAGTCTCAAACTGAGGCACACTGATCACACATCCAAGTCTCAAGTCCCATAGCACAGAACAAGAAGGTTCCTGGACACCATGAGCAAGAACCAGGAGTTCTCTGATCCATCAAGAAAAGTCCATCAGCAGAAACGCTTGCCAAGTCAGGAACAAACGGAAACCAACCCTGCTGCAAAGGGCTCAAGGAATTCAACCCCCACAGTGAGGCACTGGTGTTAAAGTCAGTCCTACAGAGCAAGCCCCATGCACTGGTTCTAAGAATGGAGAGAGAAAAGGTCAAATGGAAAGAAGACTGGAGTCACTTCTCAGCTAAAGACTCCACACTCCTTCTTCTAAAAGATCTTCACACACCCTTTCTCCCAAGAAACATTTTCTGTAGCCACATAGTTCCAAAGTAAAAAAAAAAAAAAAAAAATATATCAGTTCTAAGGGTACCAAATGTATTATAGCAAAGAGGGAAGATGGGGTGAGCAACAAGCTTGCACTTTTTATTATATTCCCTTTTATCAATTATTACTTCCCGGTGTTTATATTTTCCTGCAAAATTTAAGTAAAAGCTGCTAGAGGCAAAATACTCATGGAGCTACTGGTGCTGGCCCATCCTAAAGAGCAATGAGCATTCTTTACAGCATTCTCTATGCTCTTAAACACACCTCTACTGCTTTCCGAGCTCTTCAGGACAATATAGGCCTCTTAACTGACACCAGAGAAAAAGTGAAATCAAATTTAATGTACTTACCTCACTGTGAGAGGTACTAGGCTCTTCATCATCACTGCTGACAAGATCAATATATTCAAGAACGGGTCTTAACGGTCCTTCCTATAAAAGAAATTGAGGAAATTCAGATCATGAACATCATTTAAACCAAAACCAGCATTTTAAACAATGTTCTTTGGTGGGATTGGATCTGAGAAGGAAGACATACAAGCAGCAGGGAGAAAAAAACAAAAACAAAGAAGAGTAAACTATTCAGAGTACATACAGTTTTTAAAAAGCTGACTGAGGCCAGGCAGTGGTGGCGCACGCCTTTAATCCCAGCACTTGAGAGGCAGAGGCAGGTGGATTTCTGAGTTCGAGGCCAGCCTGGTCTACAGAGTGAGTTCTAGGACAGCCAGGGCAACACAGAGAAATCCTGTCTCAAAAAACCTGTGGGGCATGCTGTGGTGTTAAGCAGTTTAGTAGATGAGGCAGGAGAACTACAAGTTCAAGACTAGCTGGGCTATTGCACAGCAAGAACCAGACTATCCTGGCCTGCAAAATAAGACAAAATCTTTAAAAAGAAAAAAAAAAAGTTAAATGCCAAACCCTACGGACACAAATACTATGACCCAGTGCATTTCAGCAAGGATGTATCAACAGTTTATTAAGACATCCAAATTTGTGAACATCAGAGTATACAGATCAAAACTTGGAGATCTTTGACCAATAGCTTAGCTTCATCTCCCAAAACTTAAAAAGAGTAAACCATCAAACCTAGATTATTCTCCAATATTCTTCCTATTCTTACACCAGGCTTAAAAGCTTAGATCTCATTCTACAGGCAAAGGAGAATTAACAAATAATATAATGACAAGAATAACTTACTAATATAAGAATACCACAGATTATAATACCTGGTAAAGCAAAATGAATAATGAGTACAGACACAAAGTAATGTGCAGCCAACACTGGTGGTAGTAAGAGAGAAGTGCACCTGAAACAGTCTAGAGGTCATAGGGAAAAAAGTGACCGATCTTATCCCAAAGAACGAAACCCAAACAAAAAACAAAATCAAGGAATCAAAGCAGCTCAAGTAACTAGAAATATACCTGCATAAAGCACCAATGGTATACAAAGGTGCCTGGCCAACAACATGCAGGCCTGTAACATTTGATCGTGAGATCTAAGAGCTGACCCGCAATGCCCCCCATCCCACTACTGCTGCATGTGGGCAAAAGCGCTGCACACCAAGACTAGACAGTGAGTTACTTACCAAGTACAATCTGTAATGATGTTTGAAGGAGAAATGCTATATAAAGCACTGAGCACATAAACCATACAGTTAAAAAACAAAAAAAAGGCAGAGAGAGCAAAGTAAAGACAGAAAACAGAAACAACAAAAACTTCTAAAATCTAAGATATGACTGAAATATGTCTGTGTTGTCAGCACTGGGGGTTAGCAAAGAAGTTCAAGGCCAGGCTGGGGTACAAGCGAGACCCTGTCTCAGAATGGTAAAATCAGTATACTGGAAACAAAAGTGGGATGGGGACAAAAGGAGAAAACACCACTGATGGTTTCCTAGACTAGAGAAGGATGGTTGTTAGAAACAAGATCTAGCTCATGATTCTCTTCTTCCAGATAGCCTGTTTCTCTCTTAGGTTTTAACAAACCAGAAACTACCATCCTCCTGGATAATGAACCAGACATCAAGGTAAAACCAGAAAACAAAACAGAGACCATGGAATGTAATAAAGGAACCAGGATTTTTGCTCAAGCTGTTAAGATAAAAGTTCAGGAGGAAAAAAGAAAAAGAAACATAGCAACAATCAGGTGGTCAGCAGAGCCACATGTAGCATTTTCTTTAAAACTAAAGCCTGCTCTTGGTTCCGATACTGTTCCATCACACAGTCAAGAAACAAGTAGACAAGCTGAAAATGTAACTGATTTTACCATTGGTCTAGTCACCATAATTTGGATTCCTCAAGCAATGTTATTTAGAAATTTGTTAAAGGCCGGGCGGTGGTGGCGCACGCCTTTAATCCCAGCACTTGGGAGGCAGAGGCAGGCGGATTTCTGAGTTCGAGGCCAGCCTGGTCTACAGAGTGAGTTCCAGGACAGCCCGGGCTACACAGAAGAGAGATTCTGTCTTGAAAAACCAAAGAAAAAGAAAAACAAACAAACAAAAAAAAAACAACAAAAAAAAGAAATTTGTTAAAATGTATTATTTTATTTCATTTGGTTGTTTCTTTGTTTCTAACATATGGTCTATGTAGCCTGGGCTGGCCTGGCCTGGAACTTCTTTATGCAGCCCATTCTGGCCTCAAATTCACAGCTGCTCTCTGCCTCTGGAGTACTGAGACCACAGACATTACAGCTGTGTGTCATCTAGCCTGGCTTTTAGGAACTTAACACTATACACAGAAATAGTCACTCAAAAAAGTCACTAGGTAATCAGAAGCACAGAGGCAGGGCCAGAATTTCCATAAAGTGAGTAATGAAAACGGAAGATGGTCTTGGCTTACACCTATAATCCTAGTGCTGGAGAGGCAGGATAGTTCTAGGCTAACCGAGTTACAATATTTAGGTAACTGCAGGCCAGCTGGACACTACACAACTATTTCAAGGAAAAAACAAAAAAACAAAAAACTGGGTGTGAACAGCAAAGGCCTTTAATATAGGACAACTGCTACAAATTCAAGGCCAGGACTAAAGAGCAGCCTGCAAAGGACTGGTGGTGTAGCCTGGTGGTAGAGTGCTTAACATGCACAAGGCCCTCGGGTCCAAGCCCCAGGACTAAGGAAAATAAAGAGATGTTATGTGTAGTAGTATACGTCTATTATCCCGGCATTCAGGAGGCAGAGGCAAGAGTTACCAAGACCAGCCCCTGCAAAATGCTAGCTCAAATATAAAGAATTTAAACATTTTAAAAATGTAATTAAATATATATATAAGATGCCACATGAATACAAACAGATAAAGCAAGACTACCAGAATTTTACTACTGAATCATTTCACTGACATGCAACAGCTGTTGAATTACAAAAAAAAAAAAATCTCATATGATTTATAGTAATTAAGACAAAAGATTGAACAATAACCAGGACAGAAGAAAACAAAATAAAGGTGAACTTTTTTTTTTAACTGACTTACAAGTAACAGAATGACACAAGAAAAATGTGATACAAATTTTGATTTTTCCTTGGCAGGATTGAGAAGCCCCGCTCCTCCTCCTGAGCAGCAGGACTCCATGGTCTGGAAAAGGGAACGGAATACCAGCATTTATCACTCCCTGCTTCCTGCCTGTGGACACAGACTAACTGGTACTTCTCCATTTCTGCCACAATTCTGGAAGTTGCTTCTTGCCAAGTATTTGGCCACAGCAATGAGAGCATAATTGATACAGAGGACATTAGAAAATGAAAGCACTACTTATGAGCATGCCAAAGGAAGATACTTAAAGTACTCTCAACAAGTTTTCACTGCAGATACACAATGATTAGCAGTAATCCTCCTGCCTCAGCCTCCTGAAGGCTGATTACAAGTATGTACCACAACATCCTCGCTTTGTCTTGAGACAGGATCTCAATCCCTGCAATGCCCAGGCCAACCAGGGTTTCTCTTATATTGTTTAAAGCAGTAACTACCCTCATTTACCCTAAGTGCTTGGATTCTAGGCTCTCATCAAGTCTAACTTCCCTTTTATCTTTATTTAAAACACTGTCTGCCATATTGAACAAGGAATCACAGCATTTAGTTCCCCATTTGTGCCACTTTTAATCGATACTATTTACTGAGCCCCATACCAGGCTCTCTAAGTTTTCCAATTATATCATCCAAATTCCTTAACAGCTTTACAGAGACTCTCCATTACTGAAATTATACTAGTTTACAGATAATAAAACTGAATGACACACATATAATTGGTTGTGCAGTCACTGTAATTCAGAGGTACTTCACAGTATTAATCAAATTTTTAAAAGTTGTTGCTTATTACCCAACTTTTCAAGTTAATGTGGTCCTTCATTCAGTAAAAAGCAAAAATCAGGCTATACAGAGAAACTCTGTCTCAAAAAACCAACAACGACAAAAAAACAAAAATCATAACAAAAACCCTACTACTGCCTGATTTATGAATATTTCATAATGTTGCCCAATCAAGTAGGTTACTAATTCCCTAAGCAATGTTCATAATACAAACATGAAGAAAAAGACTATCTCCTACCTAAATATTTTACTACTATATTTATAATGACAACCTCTACGTGCACTTAGACTACCAATTAGTACATCAGTCTTATCCCTTCTCGTATCAATAACAAAGGATTCAACTCAAAATGCCATTACAATTTAGCAGCAGAGGCTCACACAGAACACATTTAGAAACACGTGGGTATATTCTAAGTTTTAGAATATATGCTTTTAATGTGATAAACCATTTGCATTCCTGTAATTAAAATGTCAATTCTAAAAATGAAAACCACCAACCTTTTTATTTAGAAAAAGATGTAAATACATTAAAATACCACTCACAAGTGTTTTACTTCAAAAAGAAAAAAAGAAAAAAAAAAAAGGTCAGGGTGGCATCTTCCTTGCGCAGTCCTGCCGAGTTCAAAGCTTATGGTTTCCCACCGCCTACTCTTTGGTTCAAATATACCACATCTAAGATCTGTGTCACATGGCCCAGCTTTCTCCAAAATCACACATGCTGCTGTTCTTTCATCTTACATCTTCTCTTTCTCTTTCTGTGCAGAATGCCATTTTAAACACCCAAATATCTGGGGATACAGAACCAAGCAGAGGGCCCTAAAGTCAGCCCTGCTACCCCAAAACTCAATACAGATAACCAGCTACTACTGCACTAGTAAACTAATAACAGTCTTTGGCCTGTTCGGTGTGTGTTGTGTGACGGTTATGCATTCGTGTGTGAACAGACACACTGCTGTTGAAGGTATGCACAGCCAGAGGACACCTGCCAGCAGGCCTCACACTGCAGAGGCGGCGCTCTCCTTTCTGCTGCTGCACAGGTTCCTCCACTCACTCCCTGTGAATGTGGGACTAGACGCTTGCCATCACACCTGTTTGATTTATTTGCTTGCTACAGGATTTTTCTGTGTAGCCTTGGCTGTCCTGGAACACACTCTGTAGAGCAGTAGAGCAGATCAGGCTGGCCTCCAACTCAGAGATCTGCCTGCCTCTGCCTCCCACACACTGCGATTGTAGGTTCCAAGGATAGAATTGAGGTCAAGTGCTGTCACTCACTAAGCCTTTTCTCTGGACCGTTAATTAATTAATTAATTAAGTACTCTTTGCTTTTTATAAAAACAAATTCCTATTGGAGCCATTTTCTTCTCCCATATCCTTGCTGCACCCTTGCTTGTTACTGACACAATATCACGTGTAACTAACTCCAGCTCCAGGAGTACAAGCCCCCCTTTTTCTAGTCTCTACACCTATACACATAACACAGCTACATGCATGCATGCACGCACATACACACATACTCATAAATAAGTTAAATATACTATTTTTTAATAATGCTTTCTACATGCATCCATCCTTTCATTGTAGTGAGAAGGATTAATATTCAACATGGGTTGATTGGGTTAGATCATGTTAGGTTCCCACCAGTTTATATGCCTTTATATCTAAAGTGTCACTGTGAACAATATTGTTAGCAGTTACTCAGCTCAAATTTTTTTTTTTTTTTTTTTGGTTTGGTTTGGTTTTTCGAGACAGGGTTTCTCTGTGTAGCCCTGGCTGTCCTGGAACTCACCCTGTAGACCAGGCTAGCCTCGAACTCTCTAAGAAATCCGCCTGCCTCTCTGCCTCCCAAGTGCTGGGATTAAAGGCGTGCGCCACCACCGCCCGGCTTCAAAAAATTTTAGAACTAAAAAAGTTGTAATGTTTTTTACAATTATTTCAAAAGAAAACGTAAGACACAAGTTGAATAAAGGGTCATATTACCACATAGAAAATGTAACTAAGAGGCAGAGACATAAAGTTCTTATCAGTGCTAAGTTACTCTCCTTCTTGATTTAGCCGCTGTCCTAATTTGCTGTCCTGTTGCTGTGATTTGAAACATCATCACCAAGTCAATCTGGGGAGGGAGGGGTTAGCTCATCTTATCCTTCTAGGTCACAGCCCAGTTCTAAGGGAGTCAAAGCAGGAAAGGAGCAGGAGCCCTGCTTACAGAACCGAGCTCTTTCTCTGGCTCACAGACACGCCCATTAAACAATCTGGATAATTCTCCAACTGAGGCTCCTTCTTCTTAGTTGACCCTAGTTTAAGTTGACAATTAAAAACTAACCAGTATGGGGTAAGGGGATAACATATGAAATTGAAAATTAAAATAAAACAAAACAAAAAAAATGTGTTACGTTTCTACAAGGCAAGTAAGTAAGCAGGCACCTAGACTTGCTGTACTGTCTTACAGAGAAGCTACCTCCTTAATGTGACTCATGTGAGGTCCGCACGGTGACATATTAAATAATGGCTGTCATAGAGAATGCTTATATTAATAAATAAGTATATCAAAATAAAAAAAAATTTTTAAAAATTTTAAAAATTAAAAAAAAAAAACAAAAAAAAAACAACTAACCAGTACAAGTACCATTTATAAAAACGTTGAGAAGACTGGAGAGATGGCTCAGCATTTAAGAGCACTTATTGCTCTTACAGAGAAACCTACACTGTGTTTCCAGAACCCACCTGGCAGTTTACATCTGGGTCCTAACAACTACACTGTGGCTCACAACCATTCATAACTCCTGCTCTCAGGGGATCAGAGGCCCTCTTCTGATCTCTGTGGGCACTATACATACATGTGATGCTATACGTACATACAGATAAAACAGTCATACACATAAATACATCTTCAATTTTTTTAACTTATTACCTTTGAAAATATCTAGGGCCCGTAAAAACTATGTATGTCCCTGCATAGTTCAATAGAGTTAAAAGGATTCATATCTATATCACTCCTTTCAGCATGCTATGTCTGGCTTCAGTCTATGTTTGTGAGACACAGAAAGTCTCTTGTCCAAATAGTAGTTTACTCTTGCACAACTCTGTCGTCCATATAATTTTGTTATAAATTACAAGTTAATAATCAGAACCAAGTAAACCAAGAAGTTATACTATAATGTAGCTTGCATCGTGACAACTTGTGCAGAAACCAGGTTTTCATCTTTACTAGGCAGGAACTACCAGAGGGACAGAATGTGTTACAAGAGCTCATACTTCTGTCTTGGGATCTATTGGTTGTGATGGCACAGCAGTACTGCTTATTAGATAAGGTTTCACTACAACACAGCAAGCCTACAACTTCTTAAGTAAAGCTCAGCCTGCATTCCAATCAGGATCCTTCTACCATGACCTCCCCAGTGCTAGGATTCTAAATGTATCTTAAAATAAAAGTAAGCTATCACTAATTATCTTTAAGTGATAGCCCTTACACACATATGCAGTTTTATATATTATATATTTTTGATTCTTTTTTTTTAAAGATGTATTTATTTACTTTATGTATGATGAGTACACCATTGCTCTCTTAGACACACCAGAAGAGGGCAGCTGATCCCATTATAGATGGCTGTGAGCCACCATGTGGTGGCTGGGAACTGAACTCAGGACCTCTGAAGAACAGTTACTGCTCTTAACCACTGAGCCATCTCTCTAGCCCCATTCTTGATTCTTGATGCTAAGATAGATACACTTTTATAGTTAAAATAAAATTTAAATATTACTTTTAAAACTCAGAACAATAGACACCTGAATTAACTAGATACAGACTATACTAGTATTTTACTTCACAAGAATTATGACCAAAAAATTTACTTTTTGAATCTTACTCTTTCCATAGTCTGTCAGTTTCTCGAAAGGCCATATTGTATAATGAAGACTTACTCCTGCCTTTTGCATGAAACATCAAAGTAAATATTCTGTTTACAAATATACGTATGTGATTCATGAACAATTCAAAATATTTGTCTTAAGGTGTTATAAAAAACCTTTACCATACATATGTTTGTTGGAGGAGTAGTACTAATTACCAAAATTCTCCTTTCTCCAAAATACTTGTATTAGGAAGACACAATGTATCCCCAAACCTAACTTCAGAGCCTCAAAGTTTAAAATGAAAAAGACAGAGTCCAGTAGGAAACTGCCAAGAAAACGATTTGATGAAGGACTCCCCTCCCAACTCCACTAACACACCATTCCCAACAGGCTGGCACAATGGTGGGAAGGCTGATCTATAGTAAGTACTAGTCTACAGTTGGTCATGATGCCCACAAATACAGGCTGACCAATGAGAACGGCAGAGCTTTAGTGCCAAGCTTGGCTAACTATAGCATTTCAGGAGAGCTGTATAAAGCAGGGATGCTCTCTGGCTACATCCTACTTAAGAAGAACTGATGTACAAATTAGCTACTACAGGTGAAAAAGCACCCGAAACCATTTCTCATCCTTCTCACTATCACTTTAGGACAGGCTGGGAGATCCCAATGTCCAGCATTGTATTTCAAAACAATACCTTGGCTCTAGCCTGGATTTCTGATTCAACAGATCTGGAGTGGGCCCAGATCTTACAGCTTCCACTTAATGCTGGAGAACTACTGTCCCCAAAGGAATAAACTCAGAAAAACACAGCAGTGCTCCAGGTGACACAGGCCTCCTCATTGTGACCAACAATTGTTCTGTGCTGTAACAAGATGACCTCAGAAGTTAGGAGAGTCCTCAGCTATTAGAAGATACATCACACGAACATGCAGTGTTCTTTATAAGTCTTACTTCCTACCTCCTGGCATTAACTAGTACTTCGTGTCTTCATTTGTGTACAGATAGTAAGTTAAGCCCTGGGAGGTGCCAGGAAGTGCAAAACAATTCTTCATTCCACCCACTTTGTGATGCCTACTGCAATTTTTGACGTATCCCCTTCAGCCATGCATCGAGGTATCCCTTCAGGTAAAAGTACCCTGCACCATGTGTGTCAGCTATTCAACATTCATGACTATCTGTTGAGTGATGACTGCCTGCCTGGTGGGGTTTAATCATACAATGGCTTACCACACTTTCACTCCACCAAACCGCGATTGTCAGTCTCTCTACTTACACTAACAAACTGAATGTCATCTTCATTTTCATCCGTTGTTGACTCTGATGCCTCGGGCCCAGCTGGTGGGACAGATTCTATTATCTATAAACAAAAGCCAAAACACGCTTATCTATTCAGTCACAAGATCGCAGGAAAAAATTCTTCCCCCAAAAGGAACGAGTGAAGACAAAAGCCCCTGCGGGGAAGCAGCAGAAAAAAAAGCACAAATCCGGCTCAGGGAACTGCATGGAGGAGGCCGGGTTTGCTAAGGCGTCTCGGAGCTGCAGAGACCCAGCCTCCCAAGCGAGCTACCACCATTCCCCTCCCCGCCTCTAGGTACAGATGCAGGCTCTATAAACCTCCGGGATCGGGGATACAGGCTACAAATACAAGGCCTGCCTGCTTCCAATCCCCTCTCACCCTCGGGGCTGCGGCTGCTGCAGCTAGGGCGGCCAGGGGCTGGGGGCGGCCGGACCGCCATTGTTGAGGGCTCCACGCAGACGTGCACCAGGCCCGGAGGCCCCGCAGTCGCCCGAGGCCGCGGCCCGAAACTGAGAAGACAAACCAAACCCTTCGAGGTCTGGCTCGGCGGAGCCAAGGCCCGGGCCGCCGCCACTCACCTCCGGCCCTGGGTCTCCCATTTCTCCCACGGCCTGTCAGCACCACGCTCCCGCCGCCGCTGCTGTTCCCGACGCCGCCGCCACGACTTCCCTCTCGCCCTGCGCCGCGCGACCCACCCTGCGTGAACGCCCACGCAGCTAACGCCTCAGGCCGCGGGGACGCCGAGCTGCCGGACCCCAAGCGCGGCCTCACTGCCGCTAGCCTCCAGCGCCGCTTTGTACGCTCCCCGCCTTCCTCCCGCCCTGCGAGGGATTCTGGGAGTTGTAGTTTCCGCCTGCCTTGAGGCTGCAGACCTCCTGTCGCGGAAAGCTGGCGAGGACCTGGAGCTCGACGCTCACCTGCCTCTCCGGAAGATGGCAGGAAGGGGTGGCAAGGGTCTCAATGTAGTTTTGAGTCCAAGCCAAATCTCGTTCTGCTGTCGCTTTTAACTTGAGAGACGCTGACACGGAAAGAGCTCCATTGGCAACAAGCGATGCGGATGAAAACATGGAAGACTCTTTCCTCCCAATTACATCTTGGCAAAGGTGGCAAGAGCTTATATATATGGCGTTCCTGAGAGGTCATTAATTCTTGCAGAAATCTCACAAAGTGGCTTCCTTGTCCACAGATTACCAGACTGCGCATGGTTCCTGCAAACTAAAAGAAGCATTACTGGTTAGGTCCCAGAGGGCTGCCGCTAGTCTTTCATATTTCTCCCTTGCTCTTTTCAGGCTAGGTTGAGTTGATAGGTTAATTTACTTTGAGAGTGAGACACAGAGGTGTGGGCAAAAGAAGACCAGTGGGACACAGACTTGGTAATGACAGTTAACTCTTTCAGACCTTTAGTGATCATACTGCTATGGAAAGCAAAACTCTGTGGTCTGTTTCGGGCCAGAAGGATGGATGGATGGATGGATGGATGGATGGATGGATGGATGGATGGATGGACAGACAGACGTACAGCACTTGAGCTATTCAATCTCTCTCATGTCTTCTTTCAATCTCCCAGTACTAGCAAGTATTCCATCCCACTAAAGGCCCAGAGAGAGGAGCAAAAGGTAAAGCTGGAGTCCAGAGTTCAGCCGGAAAGTAAATACATCTAAAGCCTGTAATTTTTCAAGATAATCTCAGGCTCTTATAAAATAAAACTGAACTTATGAAAACAGAAGTTGACTGGTTCATCAGTCAAAACAACTATGGCACTTAATATTTTCTCAAATAATGACTTAGAACAAAAAGCCTTTTTAAAAAGATATGTAGTCAGTGGTTAGTAAGATTTTTAAAAAATTTAAGAAAGAAAATTAAGTCTGTGGTGCCTGCTGTTGTTTACCCAGATACAAAAATATCATCTAATTGCCTATGCCTTAGAAATTATTGTTTAATAGTTTATCTCCTGCCTTACTACAAAGTGCTTTCTAACATCTATTGCTTTCTGTCTAATACATTTGCAATTTATATAGGCCAACTGAGAACTAAAGATTCAGCCTATGCATTTTCAAAAACTATATTTGTGTAAATTGAGTATCTCTAAACTCAAGTGTGTAGACCAGACTGTGAGAAAGTAAGTCCAACGGAACATTTAATTGGTTTCTTGTAGGAATTGGTGGGTAAAACACACGGAAAACATGAGGCATTTGAGACTAAAGCAGGAAAGTGGTCATACTTCCTATCTGTTAGCTATAGTTGCAGTGACTTACCCTGAGGTTATGTCACAGGTTGGTTTAGAAAAGAAAACATTAAAAAATGTCTGGCTAGTGTTTGAGGCTTCAGTGTCTTGCACCTTACTTTTTTTTTCTTTTTTGAAAAATAAGGTTTCATCTTGGTCAGGAGAACAGGTAATTTCTTAGAGTTTGTCAGCTATTGGAGCAAGCCTATTTTAAAGTGACTGAAATTAGACACATAAAGGACTATCTTATAGGTGTTTTAGAAGCACCAGGTCTTCCAACTGAACAAAGTCAGGATGAGGTTAAATTGTGATACCCTCTACAAATGGTATTCTATTGACCAGTGGTTCTTAACCTGTGACTTGCTCATGACCCCTTTGGGAATCATATATCAGATATGCTGTACATCAGATGTTTATATTATGATTCATAGCAGTAGCAAAATTGCAGTTGTGAAACAGCAACAAAGTAATTTTATGGTTGGGGGGCACCACAACATGAGGAACTCAATTTAAGTATCACAGCATTAGGAAGGTTGAGAACCACTGCTATAGACTAATGTAGCTCTATTGAAAATGTTTACTGACAATTTGCCTGCTTATTTTTCGAAAAATGAGCAGAAGAAACATTAAATAAATAGAATCTTGCCAGACTTTCAAACAAACCATGTCCATAATAGAAAACCTACATAAATATTAATGCTGATTTTTTTTCTAGCACAGTGTTTAATAAGAACATGCTTCGAAGCTACCTAACAGAAGGTTAAATCACAACATGTTGTATTTAGCAAAGAAGAATTAAAAACATTATGAACAAAAGTTGGGAATCTTTTTTAACACAGTAAGAAGGTCATGGGTCAAGCAGTTCTATAGTCAGTCAGTCATGTCTGAGAGTGGAAAATTAGTTCTGTTACTAGAGGCTCCACTCTTTGTTTACTTGAAAGAAAGAATTAAGTTGATAGATAAACAGAAGTTAATTTACCAAACAAAGCATACACTCCAGAGAAAAATGGGTCATCCCAAAGGAAGGAAAACAACCTAGTAGGTTCTGAGTTGCAAAGTTTAAAGACATTTTCATGAATATTTATGAGATGGGTGACATAGTTTGAGGAAAAAGAGAACACCCCCACCAGCCCCACCCCGCCCAAGTCACGGTGCACTGAATCTCACTGCTACATCATTTCTTCCACAGTCCTGTAGAAAAGCCCACTATCAGCAATAAAAACCACAAGGTAAGTGTTGTTCAGATGAAGTCAGAGTCTTCTGAGGATTTGGGGACTTCCTTAGTCATCTGTGAAGGCAGTTGGGAAAAGTACATCGGCCTTCTAGCCTCTGAAGTAGGAACAACCTACCTACCACTCTGAAATGTCATTCTGAATATCAGGAGACAGAGCTACTGAAACTCAGGGACAGATTACTGGGCTAGCCAGCATCTAACTCCTTGCCTGGCCAGCACCCTTCTTTTCACAAGGAATATCACCCCCATAACGGGAGGAATGTAATTCTATAAGGGAAGAAGGACCCAGAAACCTTTTTCCTTTAGTAACTTTTTCAGGTTGAAAAAGGTGGACCCTCCTCATAGGGGTCCAGCCTCCTTGCTGTGTATGTTGGAAGAGCACTCAAAACTGGTTAAGTGGAGGATGGCAGCCTGTTGGTATAAATAACAGATGTATTTGTTGACTGGAGAACCCCAGTATGGTCCAGCTAGCCCAACAAACTTTCCCTCATATTACAGCAAATGCATTATAAATTTTAGAATAGGTGGCAATGTCACTTTGTTGGACCCTAAGATCCAAACCAGGAAGACTCGCTCCCACAGAAACACTCACAGACAGGGACAGGGGGTTCTATGCAAAAGCAAGAGGTTTATTGATCCAGGGCACTGGGGTTTCCCCCGCATGCAGGCTAGAGGAACCCTGAGCTAAAGCTAAGAGCAATTTTTATACAGTTTTAACAGGGCTCACAAGGGCAGTCTTACAATCACCTCTTAGACAATGCTTAACCAAAAAGGCTGACCACAAACAGCCACTCCCACGCCTGGTTACCTGGCAACATATATTTGCCCCTTATGACAATGAGTGTTAGCTAAGTCTATCTTACGATAGCTCCTGTTTACCCAGGTTTATTGTGCTAAGGGCCCAGCTTCCTGATAACATTTTATTTCTCTTATCTTGGGTCCCTCTCCTGGAATGTGTGTGTAAGTCTTTGGAACATGCTTCTCCCAGGATGTGTCTCTGGAAAAGTTGATTTTTAAGTTTAGGCTGAGACCTGAGATTCTTTCACCTTGAAGAGCATTCTTTTGGTATCTCAAAACTTAAATGTGATAACTAATGATATTCTTTCTCATAATTGACATTACATTACATGATAAAGACATCAAGCAAAGAACAGAAATCTGTACAAATACATCCTTAAAATGGCAGAAACACCCATATCAATTATAATCCTCATTTCTGCAACTCTTCACATGGCCTTAGCTGTATTTATAACTGCTTTCCTCTACTACCTATTCTGTGTTTTTCTCCAACCTTGACAAGCCTTTCAGCGAGTCTTTGCTCTTTTTCCCAAAGGAGTGACGCATACCTTCAATACTGAAGTGTGTGCCCTTGGTCATTCTGCCTGGAGTAAATTGTTGTAGTGTCCCATTGATTTTAATCATAGGACAAGATAGCACTGAGACCGCCTAAAGGATCTCCAGACATGATGTCTTACCTCGATCCACTTCTTAGTAATCTGGATCAATAACCCTGCCTAACTGTTATTCCTCTTGGTCTGTTGGTTTAAGGGCATCAGAAACCCAAAGTAGTGGCTAAGGGAAAGTCTGAGCTTTCACCTCAATGGATTATTTGTTATGGCCCCTGGTGTTAGACTTCAGCCCGAAGCTTAGAACAGATAACACCAGACCAAACGGTTCCAAGGGGGGAGGGTTATTCAGGAGATAGGGCAAAGATGGGGGAAGAGAAATGGGAGAAGATGGCAGAGAAAGAGGAGAGAGAGAGAGGAGGAAGAGAGAGGAAGAAGAGAAGCAGAGGCCAGCCATGACCACATGGAGAGAGGGGGAAGGGAAGGAGAAAGAGGGGTGAGGGGACAGAGAGAAGCTAGAGGCAAGAGAGCAAGAGAGAGAGGAGAAGGCAAGCAGCGCCTTTTATAGTGGGCAGGCCTACCTGGCTATTGCCAGGTAACTGTGGGGAGAAGCATACCTGTCTGTTGCCAGTGATAGTGAATGGAACTATTCCCTTTTCCACCCTTGATTCCTGGACCCAGGGATCCTAGCTATGAGAGATACCGCAACACATATTAGATGCTGATTCTAAGCCTTCTGGAAATCTGCCTTCTGGAAAACCTTTTTTCAGCTCTCCAGGCTGCTGTGGCACTGCGTTCTCTAAAGGCCATTCCATTATTCTTCCAGGATAGTGTAGAATATAATAAGACCGTCGGACTCTATGAGTATGGGATCATTGTCACACTTCTCTGGCTGTGAAGTGAGTGTCTTGGTTAGAAGCAATACTATGTTGTTACAGGGTATTTAATTATTGTACATAGAAAACTTAATTGTTAGCAACATATAAAAGCCTAAATAGATATTTGCTTCGTTGGGTGCAGTTAGGTGTG